TGACTCTCAGATTCCTTTAGATGTGGATTACCTTATTCTCCTGGCATGAAAAAGCTATTTGTTGCATTTTTTAGAAAAGGCTAAATTTATAACAAAATGTATCTTTTTTCTGGGTGTCTAAACCCTGTATATAGTATTTTCCTTTTCTTCATACAACTATTACTACTTTCAGAGAACAATCAATCACTAGACTTAGCACCCCTAAGTTCTAATGTGATTTCATTAAGTGATTCTATTTATTATCCTTTAAAGACTATATTCAGATCTAGCATCATGTTTGTCTTTAATATTACATAATTTTAGAAGTCACTTTAAAATAGCTGGGTTCTTGGGGCGCCTGGGTGGCACAGTTGGTTAAGCGTCGACTTCAGCCAGGTCACGATCTCACGGTCCGTGAGTTCGAGCCCCGCGTCGGGCTCTGGGCTGATGGCTCAGAGCCTGGAGCCTGTTTCCGATTCTGTGTCTCCCTCTCTCTCTGCCCCTCGCCCGTTCATGCTCTGTCTCTCTCTGTCCCAAAAATAAATAAACGTTGAAAAAAAAAATTAAAAAAAAAAATAAAATAGCTGGGTTCTTTATATTGCTTGAGCATTTCTTTCTCCAAACATTTGTTTCACAAAGATGAATTAAAATATTTTACTAAGGGAATAAAGTCACATGACAATATTTTTGGGGCGCCTGGGTGGCTCAGTCGGTTGAGTGCCTGACGTCGGCTCAGGTCACGATCTTGCAGTCCGCGAGTTCGAACCCTGTGTCATGTTCTATGCTGACAGCTCAGAGCCTGGAGCCTGCTTCAGATTCTGTGTCTTCTTCTCTCTCTGTTCCTTCCCCGCTCACACTTTGTCTCTCTCTGTCTAAAATAAATGAACATTAAAAAATTAAAAAAAGAAAATATTGTTTATTGCACCCTTATTTAAAAAAAAAAAACAACATTGCCAAACTGTATGGTCAATTTGTATGATTAACCTATTACAAGGGAAATGGTCTGAACCTTCCTATTGTTTAATTTTGCAGTTTTGGTTCATTTAACCTTATGTTTATAGACTTTCTAGAGAAACTTTGTGCGTTTTGATGCAGAGTAGGAATCGGGAACTCTATTTAAATAATAATTTGTGAAATAAGTTTTCCAAAGCACATTTGTATTGCCCAGCTGTACAAGGCTCCTCTTTCTATAACAATCACTTTTAGAATTACAGACATTTTTATTATGGATGCTGTGCATCTACATAAAACAGCATGTGGCCATGGCAAAGAGATTCATCTTTTGTGAAGCAGAGGTTTAAACCACATATAACAGCAGAGTTCAGGTTGATTCAGGTATCAATACACCTGAAATACAACAATATATTTCTCTGAGTTAATATAGTTCCCTGTTCTGAAAAAAAATCTTTTAAGTACCTTGCATGAAAAAAAATACTAAAGAAAATCATGCATGCATGAAATTTGAAGTCAGTTCCCAAAGTAAAGTGAATTCAAAATAAATGAGATGGGCCTACACATAAAAACTGAAACATAAATGATGAGGACGATTTCTAGCTTATTTATACCAAATTTTCCCGTGTTTGTATGTGTATTTCATTAGCAGCAAACTTAGGAAATATAACATCTGTTAAAAAAAATGTATTGTCTGATACCAGCCTCCCTCCATCCAACGTGTCAATTATTAACAATATAACTTTGTATGAAAAATGTACCTAGATCAGCAGACATCTTACACTTAGATTTTACAAAGATCAACCTCGTTGAACTAACAAAGGTTGGTATTGTTATTAAATAAATATATGCTCCCATGTGAGATTATATTATAAAGCAAATTCATTGATTACTTTAAAGAAGATACAGTGTGTTCCACAGAACGTTCTTTTACTTTAAATGTTTAGTTAGGATTACCTCATTTACCTAACAGAAGACTACATTATTTGTATAAATCCGTGACACTGACTCGTTTGATTTTTTCCCCTTAATAAAGTACTCAAGAAGTAATAGACTATGGAAAACACATTTAAACAGAGGAATATATTTATTTAGTAAACACCAACTATCAACTTGGACTCTCCCTCCCTTTAGTAGAATAAATCTGTAACTGCTTCTCTCAGATCTTTCAAAATAATCAAAGAATTTATGCACTAATTACATAGTATGCATATGATAGGAAACATCTAATTTCAGTTAAAAGGAGTGAGAGAAAGCAAATTGTTAATGGATTGTACATCACCAACAAATTGAGCAAACGTCACAGGTAGCAGAGTGTAGATAAATCATTACTGACAAAAGAATAGAAAATATTAATGACAGATACATGGCACTTATCTAGATATCTAGACACTTAAATCTTTTAAAAATCACAAACATGTTAGCGTCTTTTTTTTTTAAGTTTATTTATATTTTGAGAGAGAGAGGGAGCATGAACACGAGCAGGGGAAGAACAGAGAGAGGAAGAGAGAGAGGGAAAGAGAGAGAGAGAGAGAGAATCCCCAGCAGGCTCTGCACTGACAGTGCAGAGCCTGAGGCTGGACTCAGTCTCACTAACCCTGAGATCATGAGCTGAGCTAAAATCAAAAGTCAGACGCTTAACAGACTGAGCCACCCAGGAGCCCCAAACATGTTACCTTCTGAGCTGTGTTTACTAATAAAAGTCCAAGGAAACAATAAATGGAAATCTATTTACTACTGAAAGAAAAAAAGGTAATCAGTAAACAGAAAAATTGAATATACCTTCTCGCATCAACAGAATATCTCAGAGTTCTAGATGAAATTAGAGCGACATTCTATGGTTTTGGAGGCATTTTTCAGAAGTATGGAAAAATATTTAAGTGTAGATGTGTCAGCAACAATTCTGTAGGAATTCAAGATGCATGGTTCCCTCTTAAACAAAATGTGGTAATCAGCTCATCATCATTTGCTATGGACATGAGATCGAGAAATCTTTGAGGAAGATAAATTTGCTACAGTGAGCTTCCTGGCAAATGCAGATTTGAAATTACTGGTATAAAAATGGAAAGTACATTTTGCTAAAGATAACAGTAAGACAGGAAAGATAAAATATAGATTATATCAGTGCTCAATAAATAGAATAAACTTAAGTATAAACACATGAAGGAAATTTAAAATAATGTATAAATTAGTTTCAAATGAGAAAAAAATAATTGTCCCAAAGAAGTAATAAGAGGAAACATAAAATAATTTAGTTGGTTTAAATTGAGTGTTCTCTGTCACTATCTTCCAGAATCACATTCTAGGATAAGAAATGAACTTGAAAATGTGTCCGTAGGTTTTGAGCTATCATCAGCATAATAGGACTCAGAATTAGAGAATGACCATGAACAAAGTGTAGGGGGAGATAGGACATTTCTTTTCCAAAAGAAAAAAAAATGTACATTTACATTATGTTACCCTGAAAACAATCTTGAAAATTTGGTAGTTTTATTTCAGTTTTATATTAAGTACCTGATATGTACAGAATGTAGGTCTGTTCTTCAGATTATACTACACATTCTCTGACCTCCATGGAGCTTTTCATGCACTTGAGAAAAGTTGTCAGATTGTTTCTGATTATCCATCAATTTATTCTCCTATCAAGCCAAAAGCCAATAGCAAGGGAAGAACGATCTATCCAGAGAGTAGCTGTGCTTTAGATGGAAAAGAAGGCAAACATCAAGGAGATACGTAGATTTTTCAGTTCATAAAGTAATAGCGTGAAGGGAAGGAAAGAAGTGATGAATGATAGAGACTTCTTGGAATAGGTGGGCTGGAAGGAGGAGGCTTTACCTAGGATTTCTTTCTGAGAAAGTACATCTTGAACAAGGATGCCAGGGTGAGAGCCGCATGCATATATGGACGAAATGGATCACTTCTATTGCCTGAAGCACTTTTGGCAATGAAATGCGTGTGGACACATGCTTTTCTGGTGTCACTGCCACTGATGATTCCTTTTTAGGACTTTTATATTCGTCCTCATTTGCCAGACCCACTAATGGGCTCAATACTTGGACAGGAATTTCCATTTTAACTGTTGCACATACTGGTGTATTCTTTCACTCAGAAAAGATGGAAATGGGATGAAATTGAGTAAGATGTTTTTAGAAATCGTAACAATTTTTGAATGAACACACTATATTTCCCATATAGGACACACTCTTTCACAAGCTTCTTGTTGCTCTCTTTGTTCTTAATTTATCTAAGGAAGGGATAGATGAAAGATACCTAAGCATTAGGATACAAAGTTTTAAAAGAGGAGAATATTGTCCTGCTTATTGGTTTGGCCATTTCCTCCTTAAGAGTGTAACGTCTACAGCTATTGGGATTTGTATTCTGTTCTTCGGTCACCTGGAATGTTTTATTTATGTATTCAAACATTGTCTGCTATATAATGCACAGACTCCAAATTTTAGACTGCTTTCTCCCAAGCACCGTATATGAGAAGTATTCCATAAAACTCGGAGTGGTCTGGTTTTGCCTTTGCTACTATTTTAACGGTTAGGAGTCCCATCACAATCCTTTAGGGTCTCCGATCCTTATCTGTAAAATAGAGGGGCTAGATCATGCTCTCAAAAGTTCCCCGAAACAATAAAAACAGTATGACTCCACTGTGTTTGCATGTACTGAGAACCAGGAGCACCACAAATCTGTTGTACATGAACACTAGGATATTTATATTTGTACACATGATACTCATGTTTCCCCAAACAGGTATCCATACAAAATTTTGCGACTAATTGGCCCAAGGTACTGTGGGTGATAAAGAAAAAATAATAATAATAAATAAATGTCTGTGCTATGCTAGAAAATAAAGTGTGAATGATTATAAATTATACTGTAATGTGTTTCCTAAAATCTCATATAAGACAGAGCCAATTAGCTGGTACGTTTATTAGTTAAATTTGAAAGTGGGCAAGGTGGGTCAAGGGGGCTTTTTAAAATCCTTTTGTGATGACAAATATAATTAAAATCAAAGGAATAAGCAAAATTAAGTTTACTATTTAGTATTTGCTTTCTCTCTTTAGGTTATTCATACCATCAGTGCTACTGATAAAGATGATTTTGCAAATGGACCAAGGTTTAACTTCTTTCTTGATGAACGCCTGTCTATAAACCCAAACTTCACTCTGAAGGACAATGAAGGTGAACACGAATTACATATACTTTTTAATCTATGTGAGATCTGCTTTGACTTAATATGGAATAGGCCTGAGCAGTTTTGTTTTATTTTTACATACCCATGAACAGCTTGCAAATCCGCATTCAAAGTCAGTTTGATGTTAATGTGTTATGATCTGTGAATAGCTTATATTTAAAATTGAGCCATATGTACAAATAACTTTCATTGAGTTTATTCAGAAGCATTCCTTTAAACAAGAAATGTACATGTAATATGCTCTTGGGCAAATTTTAAGAGAAATCTTAGCTGACAAACATATTTATGAGAGCTGCTTGCAATTGCTAGGAGGTAGAAAAATTTTAAATTAGGAAAAATGAAAAATATGTCCTAGGGACAGTCAGGAAAGGAAATGCAACGTTTGAATTCATCTTGCATTAGCAAGGCTATCATAATGTGGTGTACAAATTATATTTCCTCTTGTTATTATGAATATTTTTCAAACTATGGGTAGAAAATATGCATAATTGCAGAATATTTTGTAAATTTGGAATTACTTTTGCTTAAACTTCTGTATTGTGTGGGAAAAGAAAGAACACCATAATCTAGTACCTAGAGAAGATTCACCATGATTTAGATTCCCTGTTTGGTAGATTTCTCCAGGTCCTGTAAAAATCAATCTTCTGTATGTAAAGGAAACACTAAGTCATTCTCTATGTGCAGTGTTCTGATTTGTATCAACTTTCTTCTTACCCCAAACTATCTTTGATCATGTTTATCTGAATATGCTACTTTTGGAATTTAACACTTGCCTCAGAATCCTTTTAAAGAAACAACAGTGCATCCACTTAAGAGTAAACATATAATTTCCTCTCTATACACTTCAGGGAAAAGGATTTTCAAACACCAAAAAAAAAAAAAAAAAATGCTGTTACTTAATGTCAACTCACTAAAACATTATTTCCATCATTCCTAATTCCTTCTTTATATTATCATAACAAGAAGACCAAATTGTACATGTGGCCATAGCAAGATTCATATGAAAATACAAAGCTTGATTGTCTCTCATTTTAACTACCCTATAGTCAGCTCTATGTATGAGAATAAATATTTGTGCATGTTTGTATCTGAAATATTGTATTAGTTGATTATTGTACATTTATTTGCATTTGAATATTCCATTCTACAATCCCAAATATATTTAATGTAAGTATGTTAAATATGTAAAAAAAATCTATTACTATTTCCCATATTTCAATATTTGCAAAATTTGGAGAGCATTCAACTTTCTGCCTTAGATTACAATCATATCTAGATATCTATATCTATATCTATATCTATCTATATATTTCAGTTGTTTGTTTTTACATTCCAATAAGGATTTTATTTTATATTTTTAAGTAATTTTCATTTGATGATAGAATGAAAATTTGACCTGGATTTAAAGATGGGCATTCAAGTTATTTAACCCATGTAAGTATAAGTCCAAAAATATTTTTAAAAACAGGAGAATTTTAATATTGTTGAGACCCACTCAGTGATTAAAAATCCGCAGACAAAAATACTATATCTGGAATTTGTGAATTTAATGAATGGCTACATTCAAAAGGGCTTAATTCAATCATTTGACTCACCAGTGGTAGGAAATAATTTCCCTCAAATATATACACTCTTGAAAGGATTTATGGTGCTGATGTACATATTTTTACATTTGTTTTAAATGTAATTTTTTTAACATTTTTAAACATACATACAAACATTTTTCTTTTTTTTTTTTTAATTTTTTTTCAACGTTTATTTATTTTTGGGAACAAACATTTTTCAATGTAAGCTTTTTAACGTTTGTTTTAAACATACATACGAATGCTTTGTCAAACATGTGAGGCCTATGGACAGTTGTGTAGGGATAAAGATGTTTTAATATATTTGTAAGATTATTTTTTTAAATGCTGGGAATTGATAAAATTCTAAATAACACAGGAAACTTTCTTTTGGATAGGTAAAACAGCAGTTTTTAGAAAAAAAAAACTCAGGTGCATAGCAGAAAGCATGAACTTATGGCAAGCCGATTTGATTATGCTAGATAAGCCACCTAAACTTTCCGAGCCTCAGCTTTTACATCCATAAATTATGCTTTAAAATACCCACTCTGGAATTTTGGGAGAGTTAGTGATACCATATGTAAAGATGGCCTTTTCTATAAACACAAGACAGTGATGGATAATAATATGTAAAGATGAAATTAAAAACAGAATAGCCATACCAAAATGAACGCACTCATACATATATATGTTCACAAGTGCATAAATAATTCTCTGGACAACAACCAGCACAAAAATAAAAAGAGTAAATATAAATATTAACAATCTAAGCCTGCTGAATCCTGGTAGCTTAGCATTTATATGCCCCCAGAACATACAAAATATATCTAAAAGAAACAAAGACAATGAAAATTAGTGTGTGTGTGTGTGTGTGTGTGTGTGTGTGTGTGTGTGAGCGAGCATGCACGTGCGCGTGCACAGGCACTCACTGCTTACACAAAAGTACACCAGGGAACGGTGGAAGGCAGACCTAGCCTCCGAGCCAGGATGGATGATCAGGAAGCCTTTGGTTTAGTAGCATCTCCCAAACTACTAAATGGTAAAGACTGAATAGAGAGACAAAGAGATTTCCAAAATAAGAGAGAAGTGTATATATTATTGTTTACTCTAAGCCCGCAGATCAACACATTAAAAGGTAGACAATGAAATAAAAAAATAAGTCAGAAAGTGAATTTACTGTGAATAATACAAAACACATAAGTGATCAGAAAATATTTTAATAAAAGTATATTTAGGATTCTCAAAATTAAAAAAAAAAAATAACATGTTTACAACAAGACCAAGAAGCAATTAAGTGAAATGAGACAATGAAAGAAAACAAGTGTGTATGAAAACAATTTAAAAATCCCTATGAAATCAATGAATTAATTAAATCCTTATCAAAATAAAACTATAGTTTTTGCATATATAAAAAAGTATATAGAACCATATAAGAAGCGTACAATAATTCAGTTTTATATATGTAATTATATATAAACATATACAACTATAGTTATTGAATATATAGAAAAGAACTACATATAGAAATTACATATATACAGAACTACATATGTATTACATACATATATACAGAAGTACATATAGAAATTTATAGATATTTAGGTATGTATAAAACTACATATATATGTTTATATTCTTAAGTTTATACTGTAATTACAAAGACATATACCTGTATGTAAACATATACAATATACGTATATGTATACACATACACATAGACACAGATATAAAGACAGAACAACAGAAATTACTAGGCAGCATTACCTCTAGACAGGACACAAAGAAAGTTTAACAAGTCAAATGTAAAATTCATTAATTCAAGCAAAAAAGCTCAGGTAGATCAAAACTTTAAAAATGCATAAGAACACTTAGCAGATATGGAGTATAACGTGCCTAGAAGAATTAAGAAGACATTATAGCAATCAACAATATAGATAGGTAAAATTACTTGACAGTTTCTCCTATTGAAAATAGATGTGTCCTTACAATGAACAAAAAACACCAAAGCCAAGCACAAAATCAAATCTTCGCTTGGATATGACACTTTAAAACTGGTAAATCTCAGGGGCGCGTTGGTGGTTCAGTCAGTTAAGTGTCCTACTTTGGCTCAGGTCACGATCTTGAGGTACACGAGTTTGAGCCCCACTTTGGGCTCTGTGCTGACAGCTCAAAACCTGCTTCTGATTCTGTGTCTCCCTCTCTCTGCCCCTCCCCTCCCACAGAGAGACTCTCTGTCTCTTTCTCAAAAATAAATTAAAAAAAAAATTTAAAAAAAACCCTGTTAAACCTCAAAGATAAAGAGAAAAATCTTTACAGTATCAAAGACAAAATGCAGAATAATTAAAAACAATGAGAATTAGATTTAAAGTAGATTCCTGTGTTAATTTTTTTTAAATTTTCTTTAATGTTTATTTATTTTTGAAAGAGAGAGACCAGTGTGAACGGGGCAGGGGTGAAGAGAGAGTGCGACACAGAATCGGAAGCAGGCTCCAGGCTCTGAGCTGTCAGCACAGAGCCTGATGCAGTGCTCAAACTCATGAACCATGAGATCATGACTTGAGTCAAAGTCAGAAGCTTATCTGACTGAGCCACCCAAGTGCCCCTAATTTTTTTTTAAAGCTGAAAGAGGTTGACAAAAACCACGTGCTCAAAATGCTGAAGGAAAATAATTTGCTATTTTCAATAACCTTTCCTAGATTTAGTTAAAAATGGTAAGCTATCTAAAATCAAGGAGGACCCCTTAGTTAAGAATTTTTTCCAATGTATAAAAAATAAGTTTTTACTGTTCGCTACTGACATTTTGACAAATGTCGCATTAATCTTTGCCTTCAGAATCTCTGCAGAATATAATAAAGAAGAAAAAAATCTTGTAATTCATGTTTTATTTCATATGTTAAAGCTTGAAGAGTAAATGCTAAATTAGCAGAATAAAAGTCTGTGATTTCCAAAGCAAGGAAGGATTTTCAGAAAGTTAAATAAAAAAGCTTATTTTATCAATGGAGCACAAGGCCAGAAAGGAGAATAAAAGATGGAAAGTGAAAGCATAGAAAATGAAAGAAGAAAGTAGAAATAAATTCAAACATATTGTAGTCATAATCGGATTAAATATCATTTTTCATCAAAGCTGTATATAAATATGCTGCTTAGAAGAGGTGTACCAAATTCAAAATGAGATAGGAAATTTATATAAAAAGTTGGAAATATTTACCCATTGCTTCAAAAGAAACAACTATTGCTGAAAAAAAGAAAACCCAGGGACGCCTGGGTGGCGCAGTCGGTTAAGCGTCTGACTTCAGCCAGGTCACGATCTCGCGGTCCGTGAGTTCGAGCCCCGCGTCAGGCTCTGGGCTGATGGCTCAGAGCCTAGAGCCTGTTTCCAATTCTGTGTCTCCCTCTCTCTCTGCCCCTCCCCCTGTTCATGCTCT